TTAAACCAAGCACGAAGCCCTTCTAAGTTCAGGGCCCTGTGTGACTATACAAGTTGCACACTCATGAAGCTGGCCCAGAGGAGGGAAAGTTGACCTCATCTCTTGATGGGCAGAATGTCAAGGCCACATATAGGAAAGCATGTGAGATGGAGGATAATGGTGTGGTCATCTTTGGAAAATAAAATCTACCTCTAGTTAATTTTGTTATACTGTTACTACCTAGAACCAGAGTTAGTCATCAACTATAAAGGAGAAACTTCAGGCTACCATAACAGTAACAGGGATGTATTTTAAAACTCTTTATGGAGATAGTGGTTGCCTCTAAAGAGTATAGCAAAAATATTAATACCTGCTTTATATCTGTTGTGGGCTGAATTGTGTCTCCTCCCCTAAATTCACAGGTTGAAGCCCTAACTCCCAATATGGCTGTATTTAGAGATAGGGCCTTTAAGAAGGTAATTAAGGTTAAATGAGATCATAAGGGTATGGCCCTAATCCAGTAGGGCTGGTGTCTTTACAAAGAAAGGAAGAGACACCAGGAGTGCATGCACAGAGGAAAGGCCATGTGAGGACACAGCAATAAGACGGCCATCTGCAAGCCAAGGACAGAGACCTCAGGAGAAACCAAACCTGCTGGCATCTTGCTCTTGGACTTCTAGCCTCCAGAACTGTGAGATAATAGATTTCTGTTGTTTTAGCCGCTCAGTCTGCTATGGTTTGAATGTTTTTGTCTCCTCCAAATTTCATGTTGAAACTTAATCCTAATGCAACAGTATTAAGAGGTTGGGGGAGGGAGTCCACCACTTTTCACCCCTTGCATGCCTTCCACTAAGTGAGGACACCTAGATGGTGCCATCTATGAGGAACAGGCCCTCAGCAGACACTGAGCCTGCCAGTGCCTTGACCTTGGACATCCCAGCCTCCAGAGCTGTGGGAAATAAATTTCTGTTCTCTATAAATCACCCAGTATAAGGTATTTTTTTATAGCAGCACAGACTAAGACGCAGCCATAGCAGACTAATACAATATCTAAGAGTTACAAATATTTACTTTAGTTGGCCTTTTTAGTATTTTTTTTTTTGTTACTCATCCTAATCCATTGAATATCCCAGGTTCTCTGTCAACTTCCAAGGAAAGCTGAATCTAATAGCAAATGCCGTGTTTTAATTAATATCCCTTCTTTGATAACATTCTGATGAATAAAGTCTTTATTGTTCATTTTTCCTAGAGTATCGCTTGTGTCCAGTAAAGGTTCATGTCTATTGTAATACTGTAGCTCATCGATGGATTTGTATAAAGTAATATTATTGCCTTAGATGGTTGCTGACCTTTGGGCCTTTGGAACAGCACACTTTTTCTAAGCATTGGCCCTGAGAATTGACTCCTGAACACACTGCAAAAGCCCAGTTGCGCTAGCTCCCTCAAACACTGTTAGGGGTTCAATTGTGTCCCTCCCAAAGTTCATATGTTGAAGTCCTAACCCTTAGTCCCTCAGAATGTGACCTTATTTGGAATCAGGTCTTTATAGAGGTAATCAAGTTGAAGTGAGGTCATTAGGGTGAGCCCTAATCCAATATGGCTGATGTCCTTATAAAAGGGGGAAATTTGGACACAGACACGGACACACAGAGAGAACACCATGTGAAGATGACGGCAGGACTCAGGAGATGCAGAAGCCAAGAAATGCCTAAGATTGCCAATAAACCACCAGAAGCCAGGAAGAAGCAGGAACAGATTCTCCCTCTTGGCTCTCAGGAAGAACCAACCGTGCTGATGCTTGATCTTGGAATTCTAGTCTTCACAGCCATGAGACAATGCATTTCTGCTATTTAAACCACCCAGTCTGTGGTGCATTGTTATGGCAGCCCCTTCGTGCCCTTTCCTGGAATCTCTGCAGTTCTGGGTGGGTGGTCACAGGGACAAACGTGTGCCCGTGGTGAGGAAGCTGCCAGATGGCATCACGTCTTAACCCAGTTAAAATGAAAATTCTCATTTCTTCAAAGAGTTTTGTGAAAGTCAATTTATTGGATTTTTTAGGTACAAGGAAAAGGAAATAACTTTTGTTAGAAGGACTCCTTTAATACCTTTGATATCAAAAGATTGTCTCACCGACCTTCTTCGAGACCCTTCTACCCGAGAATATGTCTTCACTTATTCCAGAGTTTACAGGGAGTTAATGCTCAGTTGTTTTTCTCCAGAAACCCGATTTAACCCAACTGTATTAGGATTGGCACTTAATTATTCTGATCTAATGATTTGCATGATTTTTAGTGCCATAATTGTTGAAAGCTGATATTAGAATCCTAAAAGTGGCATATCTTATTCAGCAGTATTTAATGCTTTATAATAACAATAATATTGGATGCATTATGCAGCAATAATGGAAATTACATTTGCGAAGTCATTGTAGTAATGGGACATATCTGAAATGCACGAAGTAGAAAAAGCACACTGGAGGAGCAGAACATATTTTATTCACAACCTTTTGGCTGTCTGTGCTGTCAGGTCGGAAGCAGGCAGGACCTTATGTGCTCCCTGGTGGCATACCACCCCTGGGCTGCATGATTTAGATCAACCCTTCAATTTTGATTGAAGTGGAGGATTTTCAGTCACTGGCATCAAAAGGGAGTGGGGGTGTTGTTGTGTTTGAAAATACTTTTTGCTCTTTAAGACAGATTATCGTTTTGTAAATGAAAACTGGATTTCCAAAGAAAGCATATACTTGTTATGGTTTAGCCTAATAATTTGGTTCTCTTCGAGTTGCTCACAACTTCTGATTGATAGTTTATTTAAAAATATGTTTGGAAAAAATACACAAATTATATTCCTTATACTTCACTAATACAGTTTTATGTATTAGTGATTTAAAGCTGATTAACTTTACCCTGTCCTTTGAATACTTCAATGTATTGCTCACATTCAATTTATGCAAACTCACAGAAAACCACAATGAAAATAAATCTGTAAGGAACCTAAGACATTCTTGGCTATGTGAACGGATACAACAAATGCTGATTTTGAGTTTTGGATACTTTCTGCAGCAATTAGATAATTTTGTAAAGTTTTGATTAATATTTCTTTTGGCAGCTTCATTGCCCTTCATCCAGGAGTATTCTGCTTAAAACTGCCAAGATTAAACAAAGCGATGGAAGTGCCAGGGCAGCAGAGATGGAAAAAAGAGTGAATTAGTTTCATTGTGTCTGATTCACAAGAATTATTTTGGCCCAGTGTATGTCCACACGGAACCTGCCTTTGCTCAGTTGTTTTTATGAAGAAAGGTTTTTCTTTTTCACTTTTTCTCTTTGATTATGGAACTATTTCACTGACAAGCTGGTTTACAGATATTTAGTCTTATCTAGTCTTTTCTAAGGCTGCTCTGTATTTTGGGGGTTAGTTACCACATTCCTTTTCCTTGGTAGAGCGGGAGGTACTATTCAGGCAAGAGAGTGCAGCCATCTCCCACGGGGCCTCAGGTTGTCAGGCGAAGCCCATTTTTTATAGCAATTATATGTAAATTCTTTGTACTTTTTCTTCCAATCAACTCTGAAGTCACACAAGGAATGTTTCCGTGGCACCGAGAGCCTCACGTTTCAGCCTTTCATGAGAAACGTATCAAGCAGATACGCAGGAGAGAGAGGAGGGGATGGGCTTGGTGCTCACCCAACCTTATAAACAAGCAAAGACATTTTCGCTTTCATGGGGCAGGATATTAGTGGCTTCAGCTGGTAGCTTCCTGCAGGTCTGTGTCACCTCTTTGCTCCTTTGCAGCGATTCCCTCCGTTCTAACTATGCTGGTTTGTGTGTGAATGCCGTCAGCGTTCCCCTGTGTGGTAAAATGAGCCCCCTTGGCAAGTGCTCTGCAAATATAAAGTGGTTACACTGATGACAGTACTTTACTCATGGGCCCATATTCACTCTCCAATAGCACCTTGTTTTCCAAACCCAAAACCTCTTCGGGACCCTGAGGTTATCCATTTTTTCCTCTGTGTTCTATCGGGGAGGCGGCATCGTGTGGTGGTTAAGAACACAGGCTTTGTAAACGGACTGACTTCACCACTGCCTCCCGGCTGTGTGACCGGGGATGGGTTCCTGAGTCTAGTTCCTGCTGTTTAATTAGGGATGCTAACAGGATCACCCTCACAGCACTGCTGAGGGGATTAAATGGCTACTGCAAGGGGAAGCACTTAGCGTGGTGTCAGGCACATATAAGTACTTGGTAAGGATTAGCTTTCATTACTTTCCAAAGATGTTTAAGATTCTGTTATTCTGATGGATTTTGTGCCAAGCTGGCAAAATGGAGCTGCTTCTCATAACTGGATTAATTGCAAAATATTTCTCTCCCATTGTATTCTTCCTTTATTCCATCTCACCTGAGATATGAACTTGTATTCATTAAATGAGCAGAGGGTGGTGTTGCTTTTTTAAAATTTAGAATGCTGTACTATTATATATTAATAATTTTAAAAAGAAATCATGAATAATAATAATATTTTTTTTTACAAGTCCAGTATTCAGGTACCTGAGAACTCTTTCCTTGGCTTCCAATACTATTGATGTTGGAGGGGGATGAGGCTTGGAAGGTGGCCCCTGCAGGCCGTGGCCCTCTGTCCGTCCCTCCCTGTGGCCACCATTCTGTCAGGGATTGGCTGGGTTCCCTAGAGTGGCGCATAGCTTGTGGGGAAAGGCTGTGGGCACAGAGCTCCACGATACACACTCCAGCTTCTCCTTCCTGGGTGTCCATTCCCACTGGGTGGAAAACAAGAGGGTCCAGTATGATTTCTGCCTGGCATTTCATTACTTGTCTATTAACATTTAATATGGAATGAGGTTAGAAGTTCATGTCATAAACAGCCACTAAAAAATTTCCTCCAACTCTAAAATAAGTTCTGCTTCTTTGGGAGGTTGTTAGGTTGTTAGAACGTGAGGATCCTAATAACAAGATGGTATTTTCAACAGTGATTTGTCAAATCTGCTAATCTCATGTCATTGCTGTGTTACAGATTGACATTCTCAAGGCAGATCTGGAAAGCGCAGAATGGAAAGTTTTGGAAAATCTTATTTTGGAAGATGTCCTTGAGCAGATTGGGCAACTCATCTTTGAGATCCATCTCCACTGGCCTGGGTTTGAGGTCGGCGGTAGCGACAGCAGCGTCGTGCGGTTCTGGTACAGCCTCCTCAAAGAGTTGGAACTAAAGGATTTCAGGCTTTTTCACAGTTACAAAGATTTATCTAAACCTCAGCTATTCCTGAAGAAAGACATTTTCAATGCAAGTAGCTGTTATACTCTGAGTTGGGTGAATACAAGGTGGAAATAGGATGCAGGACCTCATCAAGAACATGAGGGAATATTACTATTTGCAGAATGGAGAATGTCCATGATTCTAATAATGGGTTTACTCACCCAGTCTCCCCCTAGCCTGTACCTGCTTGAGGCAGGGAGGTGGTATTGTCTTTGTAGGGCATGTAGCCTGGTGCTTGGCATGTGGTAGAGGCACAGTTAAGACGTGTTGAAGGGGTGCACACCGTCACCCCCATTTGCCCAGAACCAGGCTTTTTGCCTTTTGCCTCTGACAGAGTGTGGATGCTTGTCCTCCTCCACTTTAACTTGAAAGATAATCCCCCGCTCATCCCAGTTTTCCCTAAAATTCACTACATATCTATATTCCATTAACTTACCAACATTAGTTGAGATTATGTAAGTTTTCCATTTTTACTAGGTTGATGAGATTTTTAAGCTCATTGCCTACTGTTTAAAATAGTGTCTTTCATTTGACTCTGACTCACCTCTTTCAAGGTTTTTCTTATTTGCCTCGTCAATAATATTCTTTGAAACCTTACAGATTTCAATAGTTTCTCATGCTGTGGCTTCGTGAGAAACAATGATCCTGGTTTCTGGGAACTCAGACACACCAAATTCAGTCACTGAGTTAGAAAGACTAGACTGTCAAGAACTTCAACTCAAGATTCTTGTCATGCATAACCTTAAATCCCATTCACTTACTATGAAACTAAGCACAAAGCAGAATATGGGTGTCTTTGCTGCTGCCTCTTTTGCCTTCAAACATGATTTTCCAACTGCAGACTTGCCTACACTGTCTAATATTTTTTTTAAGACGTTATCTCAAATGTTAAGTGCATTTTTCTTTACTGCCAGTTGGTATCATTTATAAGATTGCGGCCCCGAGGGCCACAGTCTCTCTTTCCTAGGATGGTTATCTAGTTTTTCAGTAGCACCAATCCTTTTCACATTAAAAAAAAATTAAGTGGAAAGTTTAGGTTCTCAGTAGTTCAAATGATCTCTATCAGTCTTATTTACAAAATTAGATAATTACTCCTCTGAACAATTTAGAAAAATCCTATTTCAAATAAATTACATAGTATAAAAATAAATCAAAGTACTGTCTAATTGTAAATTAATTATATTTTTGGTATTTTTTTACATCTTGAGAGTGTAAAATCTATATGTACATTGTTCAAAATTTTTTGGGAGGGGCGGGGGTAGAAGAATATTATTACTAGACTTTATCCCTTCTCCCGGTTTTGTACTTCCTCCTACCCTCAGACATTTCCTACCTTCTCTTTGTTTCTCGCAGTGGTTTGAAAATGCCATTCCTCAAGTGAGAAACCAAAATATATTACAATAGAATGATCTCACTAACCTGAGTTTAAAAGAGAACAAGACTTTCTGAGTTAGTTGTGATGGCTTCTTAAAAATATAAATGAAGTTTTTATTTTAAAACTCATAGTACACTAATAAAAGTTGTTGAGCTGAGAGGACTAGCTTGAATAAGCGTGATTTGAAATGGCAGTTTAGTCATTTCAATGTACGTAGGTATTTCAAATGTACAAAAGTGTCCATAAAAACTCTAAAGTGGTTTATACTGTTAGTTTTTATGGCCTCATCTCCAAAGAAAAGCTAACTTTAGCCCACTTCTGGATTATATCACAGATTTTTTCATAAAATTTTTATATACTGAAATAAACATTTTTATACACTACAATGTGAAGAGTGTACCAATCTTAAGTGTCCAGTCTGATCAACTTTTAGATATGTACACACCCATATCAAGATTTGTAATTCATGGAACTGCAGATTTGGGGCATTACTGAAAGCCCCCTTTGTCTAGGGCAAGTTAACCATTTATTCCAGATTGGTGGTGCAGAACATTGACTTCATCACACTATATATATCTGAAGCAAGAATGGCTGTACTGTTAAAAAAGAATAAATCACAAACACACCCACCCACACCCACCAACGAGGCAACCTGTAATAGTTATTCATACTTATTTTATGCTTATTTCTAAAACTGTCCCTTATTCTCATCATGGATAGTTTGAAATTTATGATGAATATTCTGATGGTTGCTAAAGTTTCCCTGCCTCTAGAATTCATTATGCTTATCATGTAGGCCAGGGTTTCTTAACCTCAGCACCATTGACATTTGGGCTGCATAATTCTTTATTGGAGGTGGGAGGGCTGTTCTGTGCATTGTGGAATGTTTAGCAGCATCCCTGACACACCCCCCATTCCCCCTCCCCCAAGTTGTGACAACCAGATATGTCTGCGGAAAGTGCCAAATGTCCCCTAGGGGACAGAATCACCCACTGTTGAGAACTATGTCTTAGGGGGCCACGAGAAGCGCCAGGCTACTGTGGCACTGATGTTTGCTTGTGAAGAACAGGCAAAGACAAAAATTATCACCACCGTAACCACCACAAAAGCAACACAAAAAGAATACAACAAACAATCAAGAGGTACTATTTACTGAGAGCTTACTGTCTGCCAAACAATTTGCATAGCTTATTCCCAATTCTCCCAACAACTCGAAAAGGAAGTGTAATTTTTCAATTGTATGGGTAAAAAAATCTCTGAGGTTAAATGGCTTATTCAGATGACTCAATAGTAGATGGAGGAACAGGAATCCACGTTTCGGCGTTTCAGATCCCACAAAGCCTGAGTCTGGTCTCCTCCACAACGCTGCCTCTGCAACCTTTGCCAAACATAAGACGCTTTGTCTGAAGGACACATTTTTGCTCCTGCATTAGTAAAAGGGGGACAAAACTACAAATAGATAAGACATCCAAGTCTGTTTGAGTCAGAATTATGTTGTAGCATGCAGGTTCGCTTACCTTAAACCATCTACTTGATTAAACTATGCCTGCCAAATGGAGGCACACTGAAGAAATATGGGGACCCAGCAACTTCTCTGTCAATACATTTAGGTTGCCAGAAAAGCTCTTAGAAGGTCTGGAAGTGACTCTTGCTCTGGCTTATCCCAATACTTGGCACTTTTCTTCCTGGGTTTTAGCAAGAGCACAGTCATTTGGAGCTGCGGTGTGATTCTCCTTTGCTTAAAGCTAGTCTTTGACTTGCAGATAAATGAGCTACAATGTGAATATCTGTGACGTGCATCTCCTTAATTAACTCTTAACCAGTGTTTATAAATGATTCCGAAAATACAAATTTAATAATGCTCTTATCAAACGATAAAAATAACTGCTCTTTTTTAGGTATAAGACATATGAGGAGGTAAGAGATCAAGTCACCTTTTAGCATAAACTGTGTCACAATTTGAGATAAGTAAACAGTTTTCCCCTACCTCTTTTCTTTTCTTCTTCTCCTTCTTATTTATTTATTTATTTATTTTTCTGTTTAGAGACAGGGTCACACTCTCTTGCCCAGGCTGGCGTGCAGTGGCATGATCATAGCTTACTGCAGTCTCGAACTCCTGGGCTCAAGCAACCCTTCCTCTTAGAGTGAGTGTAGCTGATGCAGTTGTAATAGGTTATCATATAAGTATTTGTAACTATTTGGCATGTTCAAATGAAGAAAGCCAGGGAGAAGTGAACAAATTTCTATTAGAATTGACTGAAGGTCCACTAATATTTATATCAGTGTAGAAAAAAAGTAAATTCATGAATTTACAGAGTTTAGTCCAAATCAGTTATTCATGTAAACATTTCTGCCTTGGTTATAAGATCTTTTAGTAAATACAAGATTTGCATATCTTAAGTATTAAATGTTTAGATTTTGCAAGGCAAAATAATACCAGGAAGTCAGGCTCATCATATTTTGCCAGTGTAAAAATGAAGACCTAATTTAAACAGATCATTCTACTTAACAGTACAGCAGTACCTCCAAGCTCAATTAGTATAATTGTTCTTTTCTGGTGGAGATAAACTTATGTTTGATTTTTTAAGCAATAACATAATTGTTTTTGTACTAGCCAATTGCTGGTACTTTGTGAATTCAATAATACATTTAACCTTATGTTAAAATGTCTTCCTTTTTTCTCACATTGAAGGAAGTATTTGAATTTAGATGAAATCATAACCCAAAGATTCAATATATTCTTAAAATTGCCTAAGTTTAGAGATTATTGAAATTCTTT